TATGGATTCCATTTGTTTCCTATGTTTGGATTCCATCATGTTCCTCAGCTCCTCTCTAGATTTATTAATCATGTCTTGCACTATGAGCACAATCTCTGCTGTTATCTGAGAAATTATTTCTGATTTCATTTTTTCCAGATCCTTTTGTTGCCAGTTCAGAGTGTCCAGGTGGTTTTGTATCAGACTGTTCCATCTCATTTCCCTTTGGGGTTGCTGTAGGTGATCTGGAAGTCTGGTTTTGAGACTTGTTTGGGTGTCTTCTCATTTTGACAATGTGGGGGAGTATGCTGTTGGCTCCCGAACGGCTCACCTCCTCTGAGCTGGGAGTGGTGGAAGGGTGGCCCAGAAGCCCCTACCTCTGGGCTGGGAGTCATAGAACAGCAGCCCAGAAGCCCCTTCCTCTGGGCTGGGAGCAGTGGAACAGTGCCCAGAAGCCCCTTCCTCTGGGCTGTGAGGGGTGGAACAGCAGCCCGGAACCCCCTACCTCTGGGCTGGGTGTGGTGGAACAGGGCCCTGCAATCCCCTCCCTCTGGGCTGGGATTGGTGGAACGATGGCCAGGAAGCCCCTTCCGCTGGGCTGGCAGTGGTGGAATGGCGGCCCAGAAGCCCCTACCTCTGGGGTGGGTGCGGTGGAGTGGCCAAAGAGGATTAGATCTTGAAAGCAAAGCCTTCCTTAATGGGACGAATGCTCTTAGAAAAAGCCCCAAAGTAGCTTGCTTGTACTTTCCACCATCTAAGAGGAACAGGCCTCACCAGACACTGAACCTGCCAGCACCTCAATCTTTTGGTCCTCCCAGCCTATGAAACTGTGTGAAGTAAAGGTTTACTATTTGTAGGCCATCTAGTTTGTATCATTTTGTTATAGCAACTTGAATGGGCTAAGACATCATTGCATTTCAGTCATACTTTTGGATCTTTCTTGACTTGAAGAAGCAGGAAATAACTTCATTTGTTCTAAATTAAAGGGATTTGGTTTTGTAGCTAAAATCTTTTCATAAAGAAAAATCTGGGACCAGATGCTTTCGTGGTAGAAATCTACCAAATATTTAAAGAAGTTGTAACAGTTCTATAAAAACTCTTTCAGAAAATAGAAGATGGAGGACTTCCTAATTCATTTTATAAGTCTAGCATTATCCCAGTACTATAACTAGAAAAAAATAAACTCCTTCAACATAGACATAAAAGTTCTTAACAAAATATAATCAAATCATACTCAGCAATTTACAAATAGCATCATACATCATGACCATGTGGGGTTCTCTCAGGAAAAAAGTTGGTTTATCATCCTAACTCCAGTTTAGTTCACATATTAAAAATATATTAAATTGTCTAGAGTCATAAAAATGCATTCCACAAAATTCAACACCTGTTTATGAAACTCTTAGCAAAGTATGGATAGACTGGAATTTCTCCAGCCTGATAAAGAAATCTATGAAAAAATTACTGTTAACATCACACTTCACTGAGAAAGATACATCCACTAAAATAGATAAAATTAAAGACTGAACATCCCTGTGATGGAGCTCCTACAACATATGCACATTGCTGGTAAGGATATAAAATGGCATAAACCCTTTAGGAAAGTTTGTCAATATATTAAGCATATGTCTGACCCAGCCAATTACACTCTTAGATATTTATCCTAGAGCAATTAAAACTTAAGTTTATACAGATACTAGTAAACTAATATTCCCAGCAACTTTATTTGTAATAGCTAAAAACTGGAAATACAAATGTCCACCAGCACATAATCAGGTATTGTAGTATGTCCATACAGAGCAGTGCCACTCAGCAACTGAAAAAGAGTGAATTGATGAGACATGCACAACATGCATAAACCTTAAAAACATTATCCTGCTCTGAAGAGACAGACCCAAAAGATAGATGTTATGTGATTCCAATTATATGAGCCTGTAGAAAATGTAATTTGTTGTTTGCCATGAGCAAGAGTTTTGATGAGATAAAGGAGAAGCTCAGGGAAATATTTTGGGGGTTGGAAATAGTGGAAATGTTACATATGTTGGTTACACACCTGTACATATTTTTGAAAATTCATTGAACTATACATCTAAAATGCATGCATTTTACTATATGTAAATAGAACTGAGGTAAAATTGGGAGAAAACTGAGCTCTTCAGAAAAGATTATTGTATATCCTTCTTAAAGTATTTCTTGCATTTGGGGAAACATAAATGCCAAATATGGGACCTAAAATGTTTCTCTGTTTAGCATGTAAATTCAGAAAATTCTGGCTTTGAGTCTTTGTGTATTGTGCATATATTTTCGGTGTAACACACTTTAGTGTCTTAAATAATTTATAACTGTACAGTAAGAACAAGAAAATGTTATACCAAACATATTAATGTTGAATCTTAGATTATTTGGCCACAGAAGAGTACTGTGGTAGGTACAGAACTAGTAAGGTATGATTACCTCTTATTTGAACTGAAGCAAACTTATATTTCTATTTTTATTAAAAAGAAATGTAAGTTTTTGTTACTTTGGTATCCTTAAATATTTAATATCTTATGATTTCATTTTCTTAGGTTATAAGAGAAGATAGCTTATTAAGTCACGGAAGCACCAGTGTTCCAGATGCTCCTACAATCAGGTACAGTTCTGGGTAGAATGAATTAAATGGATTTTCTTATCTTTTCCTGTTACCTTTTTTTTCTTTCTGGATCTTTTTCTTGAGTAGGGGCTCTTTTTTTCCTTTCCCTAATCTGTCATCACATAGTTTCCTGTATATATTTGAAACAGCTTGAAATCACTCTTCTCTATCCACCACTGAGATTCTTAGTACCTAGTTTTAGTTAGTCTCCCTACATTCCCATTTGTCTTTATCAAATTTGAACTATAGAGCAAAAAAATCTTTAAAAAATTAAATTTTTATTCTCACACCTAGTAAGGAATGTATATTCTCTTGAGTGTCATGATTTAGTGTCGTCTTGTCATCAGGGTGGTCTTGTTCTTATAAACTTACGTTGGCTCTCACATTAATTGAGCAGATGTTTTTGCTACTCCACCTTTCATCTGCTTCTCTTCTCTTTAATGATTATGTCATTTATTTATCTTGTTGGGTGTTTAAAATATCCTTTATTAGTACATGTTTGGAGTATATAGTGATTACATTCATTGTGGGCAGTTAATACGTGTACATTAACACATCTTAATTATTTTTATTTCTCTTTCCCTGACTCTCACTCCCCCTTCCTCCATCTCTAGAAACATTGCCCACTTGCAAATGATTTGTCTCCTTAATTCCTGTTATGCAGCGTTTATTTTGCTCTTTGTTTTGTTTATCACTGTGTGTCCAATGATCTGTTCTTAGTTTGTGCTAAAAAGTTTTGAGTGAAAGTTTTTTTTTTCCCCATTACTCAAAATTTAACCATTGGAGAGTTTTTTGATTAATTATACTCAGTCCCACATGCACATAAGTCTATAACATGCTTTGCATATGGGACTCTACAAGTATACTGATTGGTGATTAGAAAAAATTGAGGGAAAGTTAGTACAACTTACCTTTTTATTAATTCTAACAAATGTTAGTCCTGACATTTTTAGTACTATTGTTATTGTTGAAATTTTATTTAGAATAACCTCAATGAAAATTTTTTGCTTGCCAAAAGGAGAGAAAATGGGCACAGGACTGCCCTTTGTTCATCAGAAGTTTCATTGAACTCCTGAAGCTAGGAAGATCATAATACACTCTGACTTTTAGATTTATTTTTCTAAATGGTTGTTCATATTTTGAATAATGTGGTGCATACCCCCTCCCCTTGTCCAGGATTTGAAATATGCTGAGTTCTCTTAAAAACTTGGGTCTATTTCTAGACCTTTTCCTTTCTGTTAACCTGTTTTTCTTTATGTTATCCCATACTTTTTATTACTGTACCTCCTTTTATTTATTTTTTCCAGTGCTTGCGATTGAACTCAGGACCTCGTATGTGCTAGACACGTGTTCTACCATTGAGCTGCACTTACAACCCATTACTATTATACTTCCTTTTAAAAAACAAAATATTTTAGGCATAGAGAAAACCATGGAGAGAAGGAGAAAACAGAGAGAGAGAGAGAGAGAGAGAGAGAGAGTGGGAATATATCTGTGTACCAGATATCAAGCTTTGTCATATCTTAGCATTTTCATATAGATTTAGATCACTTTTCTTTCATCTTTTTTATTGGGAGATAATTCATATACCACAAAATTATTTTAAAAATATACAATTCAGATATACAAAATTCCTTTAAAAATATACAATTAAGTGGTCTTTAGAGTATTCACAAAGTTGTGCAACTATTACCACTATCCAGTTGTCATCATACCTGAAAGTAACCCCTTGCCCATTAGCTTTCACTTCCCCTCACACAGGGTACCCGGCAGCCACTTGTCTACTTTCTATGTATGGATTTATCTACTCTGGATAGTTCCTGTGAATGGAGCCATAGCAGATGTGGTTGTTTGTGCCTGCTTCTTATATTCAACTAATGTTAAAAAGGTCCCTCCATATTGTGACATGCATTGGTACTTCACCCTTATTTATGGCTGAATAATATTCTAGTATATATTTATATCACATTTGTTTATCCATGTATACATTGGTGGACACTTGGGTTATATCCACTTTTCTTTTTTCCAGTACCTGGGATTGAACTCAGGACTTCACTCTTGCGAGGCAGGCGCAGCACCACTGAGCTAACTCCCAAGCCCTGTATCCACTTTTTGACCATTATGAATAAAGTTGCTGTGAACATTTTGCATACATGATTTTTTTTGTAGGCATGTTTCAATTTAGTATAACCCTAGGAGTAATACCACTCCTCAGTCACGTGGTAACTTTAACTTTTTAGAGAAATACAAACTGTCTTCCAAAATGGCTGCAGCATTTTCCATTCCCACCAGCCATGTGTGAGGGTTCCAGTTTCTCAATATCGTTTTTATTCTGCATTTATTATTCCATATTTTTAAAAAAAATTACCTATCCTAATGAGTTTGAAATAGCATCTCACTATAATTTTGATTTGTACTTAAGGATTAATGATGTTGACCATCTTTTCATGTATGTCTTTTTTGGAAATAATTTATTTAGATAATTTATTTTTGTAGAAACAGCTTTATTGAGATATGATTCAGATACCACACAATTCACCCACTTTAAGTATACAATTCAGGGCCGGGGATTTAGCTCAGTGGTTTCACCACCTGCTGTGCAAGTGCAAGGACCCAAGTTCAAGGACCCAAGTTCTATCCCTGGTACCCCCCCCCCAAAAAAGGATACAATTCAGTTGTTTTTAATATCTTCACAGACATATACAGCCATCATTAGTATCTAATTTTAAAATATGTTCATCACCTCAAGATGAAATCCTATACTCTTAAGCTTGCTTTGTCCCCTACTGTGATTACTCCCACCCCTACCCCTCTGCTGCTCCCCTGAGGAACCACTTATCTACATTCTATCTCTATAGATTTATCTGTTCTGGAAATTTCATTTAAGTAGTATTCTGGGGCTGGGGATTTAGCTCAGTGGTTCCGCCGCCTGCCTTGCAAGAGCAAGGACCATAGTTTGATCCCCAGTACCAAAAAAAAAAAAAGTAGTATTCTGTAATATAAGATCCTTTTTGCTCTCTTCTTTCCCTTAGCATAATGTTTCAAAGATCATCCATATTGTAACGTGCATCAAGGCTTTATTCTTTTTATGGATGCATAATATTCCATTGTTTGAATGTACTACATTTTGTTTATTCATTCATGCATTCATGGACACTTGAGTTGTTTCCACTTTTGGCTGTTAAGAATAATGCTAGGGGGCCGGGGATTTAGCTCAGTGGTTTCACTGCCTGCTGCACAAGCGCAAGGACCTGAGTTCGATCCCCAGTACCTAAAAAAAAAAAGAATAATGCTAGAGTAAATATTTATGTACAAGTTTTTATTTGAACATTTCTTTTCAATTATTTTGGATATGTATCTATAGTAGAATTGGTGAGTTGTATGGTAATTCTATGTTTAACTTTTAAAGGAACTGCAAGGCTGTTTTCCACAATGGCTATACCATTTTCTGTTCCTCCTAGCAATGTGTTAGGGTTGTGATTTCCTCACACCCTTACAACTCAAGATTTTCCACTTCCAAAGTTCTACCTCATTATAGTTTTCAGTTATACTTTCATAATGACTAAGGATGTTGGGCATCTTTCTGTGTATTTATTGGCTATTTATATATCCCCTTTAAAGAAATGTGTTATAAAATCCTTTGTTCATTTATTGTTTGAGTTGTCTATCTTTTTGTTGTTGAGTTGTAAAATCCTTTATACAGTGGTTCCCCCTTATCAGTGGTTTTATTTTTTGTAGCTTCAGTGATCATCCACTGTTTGAAAATATTAAGTGGAAAATTCCAGAAATAAACAATTCATAAATTTTAAATTGCACTGTTCTGAGTAACATGATGCAGTCTCACAGCATCCTTTGTTGTCTATATGCATGCTGCATATACTACCACCTGTTACTCACATAGCAGCCATCACAGTTATCAGACAGTTGCATCATTATGGTCAAGTCGTCTTGTATTACTTAATAATGTCCCTGAAGCTCAGATGTAGTGATCCAAAGGAGGTACCAGTAGAGAATAAAACATGGAAGGACAGATGAACTCTGTTACTGTGGCAGTACTGCCATGAACTACATATAGAGTGAAGAACCCACTTGCTTTCAAGAACAAAAACAAAAATTTTATTAGGAAGAATAACATTCACATAACTTTACTACAGGATAGTATTATAATTCTGTTTTATTATTGTTGTTAATATGTTACTGGACTTAATTTATGAATTAAACTTGATCGTAGCTCTGTGTAAGAAAAAAGTGTAGTGTATATAGGATTCAGGGCTATCTGTGGTTTCAGATGTACATTCATGGTCTTAGAACACATCCCCAACAGGGTCTGGATACAAGACCCTTATCACATATATGATTTGCAGATACAGACAAACTTTGTGCAAGGCATAACACACATGGTGTGTGGAGTCCAACAGCCAGTGCAGTCCTTCTTCTCAGCAGAAACTTCCTGAACCTGGTCTTTACTGGCAGCATTTCTATCAGCAATTGATCTTCTGGCTTCTGACCAGAATCTCCCATCAAGTACAACTTAAGGCTTTGCAGGACTGCTTGTTCAGCTGGCATCTCGAGCCTTTCCAAACTCTTCCCATAAGCCAGTTCCAAAGGTTCCTGAACCTCATGGTCAGGTACAGTCACAGCAACAACCCCACTTCTCTGGTACCAAATTCTGTATCAGTCAGTGCTTACTTAAGATAAACAAATATTTTTGTATAAAAGAGTTTACAAGATTGGCTTACAACGGCCACCCACAGAGTTGGATGTGGAAGAGTGCAAAAGGGCTGTCTGTGTGCTGGGGATCCAAAGGATCCAGTTGAACACCTGGAGCTCAGTGTAATATCCTGTGCAAGTCTGTATCAGTAGGCCGAAGGAAGAGTCTGCACCAGAAGACTGAAGGGTCAATGCTGGAAACGGAAGACTCTGCACTGGAAGCCAGAAGACAGTTCTGTCATTGTAGTGAGATTTTAGGAAGGAAGCAGGGTAGTCTGCTATTTTGATGTAGCTATGAGTGAGTCTGACTTGGATATAAAAGCTCTTCTGGTACAGATTGGAGACAGGCATATGAGTGTAGCATAGACTGCTAGAAGCACTACTTGTCATTTCTTCTTCCCCTACATGAATTCTTTGTTCTTCTTTTCTGAGTCTTTTCTTCAAACATGCTGCCTTTTTCTACAGGTCCTCCATGATCTGAATTTGTCCCTTTTTTGTTCCCCAGTGTTGTAGTAAGTGAGAATAATGTGCCCGTCTCCAAAGATTCTCTTTCCGTGGTACATACCACACCTGTGGACAAGGATTCTCTTCTAAAGGTGAGAATACTTCTTTAAGATTTTCCAAAGACAACATTGAGTTTAATCTAGGGACATCTGGTGATTTCTGATGAACATTGTGAGTAATGCATTGAGCCTCAGTTCTCTAGGGAGAATCTTTTTGACACATTCTTTGCAAGACTATCTCAGAGTTTCCTCTTCAGGTTTTGTGTTACTGTTTGTATTTTTGTTTTGGGGGTGGTTTTGGGCTCTAGCAATACTTTCACTCATTTTCCTTTTAAGGACATACATTGTTACATGCAAATAGATAATTTTAAAGTGCTTATTAGATGAAAGAGTTGAGGCTGTGTATCTTGAACTAAGGTGATAATATTGAAATTTGTAGTGTGATTTACTCTGGAGAATATAAACTTGTGTGCGAGATCTGTTGTGTTTATTGTTTTATCCGTATGTCTCAAATAGTAATATATGGAAAGTAAGAGGCACTAGGTAAATGTTGATTGAAATAAACTTTTAAATATTCGGGACATGTCATTGATTGTGTTGGAGTATAACCGGATCATCCTAGCTTCTATCATTCCTGTGTCCACTCAGAAGTTGGAGAAATTCAGTTCATTGGCCATGAATGCTTTAATTTGCAAGTTTAAAATTGTCCTTCCAAATTAACATGTACCAATTTATTCTCCTTGCATAATGTATATTTGTTTTGAAAATTTACCAAATATTTCATGAAGGAAAAACTAGAAATCACCTTTAGTCTCACTATGCAAAGACGTGTATAGTTGATATTTAGATGTGTAATCTTTAAAACTTTGAAGCTTAAAAATTCAATTTACAGTGCCTTCAACTGGGAGTTCTTTTTTCTAGTTAAAATCCCAATAAGACATTGACATCTTTGGTTAGTCACTGAAAACTATTAAAGAACCTGAAATTTTTTTTTTAGAAAAGAGAAGGACATTTAGTTCAAAGATTTATTATGTAGATGATATTTACTATACAACATGCTGGGCATCACAGATTACAAAATGAATGAAACGTGGTCTCTACCTTCATACTGCTTACGGTGCACTTAGCCAAGGGGTAGGGCACGAGGAAGATGAGAGGAAGGAGAAAAATATTAACATTTATTGGAGGAGAATTTGAGTTATCTCCTTGACTCACTACTGTCTTCTATGGTGACTCTTGTCACTCTCAGCTAGTCTACAGAAAACCAGCACAGTCTCATACCCATACAAGTTTTCTCTCACCAAAAAACAGAGCTATGAAAATTTACAGAACATTTCAAGTTCTGATCATAGTCTAGGTTCCCCTCCATGAAAAAATTAAATCATCAGACTGTGATTCTTGAATTTTCTTATTTGTTTAGAGGATTAACACTCACCAGGCCTGGTTCAGAATTACATACTGAGAGAATGTGGAAAAAACTTAAAGTCTCGTGATAATCATTTAACAATTCTAGATGTTTTATCTTCCATAGGATGCTACAGATGAATTGGATGCCTTGCTCTTATCTCTAACTGAGAATCTAATTGATCACACAGTCACACCCCAGGTAAATATGCTTTTAAAAAGCAAAATGAAAAGGAATTTCTGTTTTGAAAAATGTTCCTGCTAGACCTCAATTTTTATTTATTTATTTATTTTTGGTACCGGGGATCGAACTTAGGACCTTGTGCTTTTGAGGCAGGCGCCAGAACCACTGAGCTAAATCCCTGGCCATGGATTCCAATTTTTGCCTGCTCAACAATTTAGTAAAACTTTTTCATTTAATAAGTTTGTATTTCAGTAACTACTTAGCATTGTCTTCCTGTACTAAAATTCTACTGCTTTGAATTTACATGCCTCTGTATAGAAATCACTTTAAGTCAATAATTTAACATCATATTAAATAACATGAGAGAAAACATGGAGATAGTCTTAATGAGTTAAGACAATAAGGAAATGCTTCATTTTTAAACATTTTATTGATAGGTGGGAGCATAGTCAGCATTAATGTGCCAATCATCATTACAGTCTAGAAGGTACTGTATTTAGTGCTACAACCATAATACAATGGTACCTGAGTTCACAAACTTGATACATTCCATGATTCTGGAAAAGATGGCTATCTTTGTGTTCATTAGGAAAGATGGCTGTGGTCATATTCCTCACCTGATGCAGAGTTCACATACAAAACCAAAATTTTGCCAAAAACTTATGTTTGCAAACCAAATTGTTCACGAACAAAAGCGTTTGTGAACCAAGGTGCCACTTTACAACTGAGAAACAGTTTCATCTTTCCAGTAATGAATGCCTTACAAGCGATATGACAAAAATTGCTGTGGGAACTAGATGCTATTCTAAGGGCCTGGAAGTAGATAACACTTTCTGTGGAGCAGGATGTCCCCTTGGATCATTAATTCTGAAACTCAACCATGTCTTAGTATAACCTGGAGGGCATATTAAAACAGAGTGCTGGGCCACACCTCAAAATTTTTAATTTGGTGTGTCTTTAGGAGGCCTGAAAAATTGTAGTTCTACCCATGTTCCCAGAAGATGCAGATGTGGTCTGGGAACCACCAGCTTAAAGCAATAAAAATACTACCAAAGAATAAATAATCACAAGTTAGCACAAGTGAATAGACAAAACAAAAAGGATAGTTTTAAAATTAAGCCATTGTAATTCTTTAAATAGACAAGAAATAACTTCTAAAATTTAAACAAGATATTCTGAAGCCTAAAGGAGAAATGCATGGGGGCTTAATTTAGAACACTGACTGCAAGTGAAGGTATGTTCTTTGTCATAGTGGGTAGGTGTTAAAGTAATGAAAAATCAAATGAATTTTTTTAAGAAGGGCTAAAGATAAGGACTGGGGTTGTAGCTCAGCAGCACAGTGCCTGCCTGACAAGTGCAAGGTCCTGAGTTCGATCCCTGGTACAAATAAAAGACGGGGCTAAAGATGTAAGTCAAAAGTTGAGCACTTGCCTAGAATGAGCAAGGCTCTGGTTTCAATCCCCAGGATGATCAAAACAAAAAGAGTTTATATCACCAATATATGTTCCCTACAAATTTAGAATGCTTCTCTTTTTTTTTGTTGTTGGTACTGGAAATGGAACTTGGGTCCTTGTGCTTGCGAGGTAGGCAGCAGAACCACTGAGCTAAATCCTGCAGCCTCTAGAATGCTTCTGTTAAACATCAAAATATAGATGTTTATGCATCCTAAGTTCTATTTGTAGACTATCCCTTCAGTTAAGTTTATAGGTTTCTCAGTTATGAGAACTATACACACTTTTTTTCCCTGCAATACCGAGAAATGAATCCAGGGCCTCACACCTACTAGACAAGCACTATATCACTGAGCTATATCCTAGCCCTTTTATGTTATTTTATTTTGAGCCAAGGTCTTGCTAAGTTACCCATGTTGGGGTGTGTGTGTGTGTGTAAAACATTTGACCCATCCCTTTCTTAATTCTTAAAATAGTGTCTCAGTCTGTAAGTTGCCCAGACTGGACTAGAACTTGCAGTCCTCCTGCCTAAACTCCAGAGTGCTGGGATTACAGATGTGCACCACCATGCCTCACTCTTCATTGCATTTTTATGGCTTATCTAGGCTACACTTTCTACTCTTAAGGAGTTTCCAGATTATAAAGTTCCATCTTTCTAGAGAAGAGCTATGGCAAACCCTAAAAGTTAGAGCAGGAATATCCATTACTAAGAAGAAAATTTTGAAAGGTACTAAGAGTATCATCAGTTTGGGAATGGGTAAATATGTAAAATAAATTTGTAACTAGAAGTAGCCCTAAGATCAATACGATAGTATACTTTAAAAAAATATAAGGTACCTAAAATAAGTTAAACGTACCCTCAGTCTACGACACACTTGTCTTTCAGGTCCATGGAAAGCTTTTCTTTCATTTTCCTTTTATCCTCCATCTTCACTTTCATTTCTCTTTTCTCTTTTCTCCTGAGTTACCCTTTATAATATGTTTTATTATGTGATGTATACTGACTTATAAATTTTAGAATCAGCTTGTCATTTCCCCACAAATCCTTCTCACACTTTAATGGAATTTGTATTTTTGCAGGTAAGTGGCATGTTTGTAACATGAAATTTTTCTTTTTGATGAACATGATCTATATATCCATTTTCTCATCTTTATTACTCTCTAAGTGTTCTTTGTAAGTCTTCTAAATTGTTAGATTAAATTCTAAATACCGTGTAGTTTCATTGATTTTTTTGAATACTATTTACTTTTCCACTGTTGAATGTACAAGCTGATTTTGTGTGTAGTGAACTTGCTGAATTCTCCCATTGGGCAATCTGCAAGTTATTCTGAACATTCTAGCAATTTCTGAGGGTTACTTTTACTATCTCCAATTATTGCTTAATCCATTGTTCACATATTCCTAGGTCTTTCAATTGTTGCTTAATATATTTAAAAAATATACTGTTAGATGCACCTATGATCTTTCTTGAGCTCCTTTTAGCTTGCTTTTCTCTTTCTTTTCTTTATTTTATGTAATTTTTTAAGATGAGAACTCATTGAGTTGTCTGGGCTGGCCTGGTCTTCCTGCTTTAGCCTGCCCTATAGCTGGGATCGTTGGTGTGGGGCACCCTGCCTGGCAAGCCTTTGTCATTTTTTTCCTTTTTTACCCTTTTTTCTCTCTTAATTTCCTTTATACAGATACAAACACTGACTCCCTAGCCTTAAATTTGTATTGTTTGGTACATAATTTTCTGTCTTTATTTTCAGCTTTTCTATATCCATTGGTTTTAAATGGGTCTTTTGTGAACAGTATTTTGCTGGATCTCTTTTGAAAAATTTTGAGAATTTCCATATTCAGTTTAACACATTTATATTTACTGTAATTATGGTTAGTATATGGTTGTATTATGTTCATATTATGGTTAATTTATTATATTTACTATAATTATGGTTATTCATTTCTGCCAAACCATTTTTTCTTTGCTGTTTACAACATTTTTTCTCTCTATTGCTCTATTTGCTATTATTAAAATGCGTTTTCTTAATATTTGAAGGAAAGTCATACTTTATATTTTTATTCTTCTGGTGGTTATCTAACTTACTAAGATTTGGACTTAACACTGAATTTTTCTTATCAGTAAGTAAGGGCTCCAGTGCAAGGACTAGTCTAAGTTTCTAAAGTAGGGGAGTTTCATTAGGTTGTAATTCTGTACAGAGAGGTAATATCTAGAAAATTAAACACTGAAGTCAAATAAAACAAAGGCTATATGAATCAGGAGCAAAATGGGTGTTTTTATTGATACTTCCTTCACACTTGCATGATAATTAAAGAATTTCCTCTTTATAAACACATTTTTTCAGTACTTTCTTTCATTTGGATTAGTCACAATCCATTGCTTAGGATGCTGCTTAGAAGGCTATGATTATTTGTAATTAACTGAACTTTCAGAAGATAGAATGTTAAACTAAACCCTGAGTATGAAATGCAGTTAAGTATTATTAAATAAACTGAAAGTAGTAGTGCATTCTTGATTCATACATGTTTACATTAGAGATTCTCAAAATTATGATAATTTCTTACATGGTGAGTATTGCATTTGTGTTATAGAAAAGAATCTTTGATTCAGAAGTCCATGTCAGATCAAGGGGGCGCATTAAGAATTGCACTCCCTAAGATTTCTAAAAAAACCAAAACTAGAGGTTCCATTTAACCAGTTATACCTCTTCTTGGTATCTTCCCAAAAAAATTAAAAGCATCATACTACAGCAATGTATGCACACCCATGTTTAATAGCAGCACAGTTTGTAATAGCTAAATCTTGGAAACAGCCCAAATGCCCATCAACTGACCAGTGGATAAAGAAGATGTGGGGTTTTTTATACAATGGAGTACTGCTGTTGTCATAAAGGATGAGCTTCAGACATTTATAGCTAAATGGATGGACCTTGAGACGACACGCTCAAGTGAAATAAATCAGACACACATGTTTAAATTCTGCATTTTTTTCTCTAGTGTGAGAAACAATGTGGAAATAAGGACTGAGATGTATAATGGATGTTGGGAAATGGGAAGAAAATGTTCAAATGGGAAGGGGAACAAGGGAGAAGGGACGGAGAAAGGAAGGAAGGGACAAGAAAAAAAGTGAAAATAAAAGGAAGAAATGGAAACAAAGCTTTTGTACATAGGGAGGGGAAGGGGCTTGAGAGGGGGAATGGGATAAAATAAAATTTATTTTCAAAAATTGCACCCCTATAATACATTTCAAAATAGAAGAAAGTATTTATGAGTATAATTATGAAAATAAGTCAGTCTTCCCTAAAAGTAAATACTTATATAAAATTTGTTTTAGGTTTCTTCAGCATCCATAATCACACCCCGGTGGATTATCCCAGTAAGTTCATATTTGTGACTTTTTTTCTGAGAGGGAGACCTAAATGGGCATAAGTTCTTGTGTTTCTTTACAAACATGGGAGTTGTTATCAAAGCTCTATTAACTGAATATAATGGCTTCAAATTCATGACTTCATTTTTCTGTCTATAAATGCTTAAGGATACAGACAAAACAATAAAAATTGGAGGGTAAGAATAGTTTAAAAAGCAAAACAACATGAACATCAAGATTATCTTCCTTCTTGCCATAGTCATTAGCAGAGAGCTGATTTGGAGCTGAGTGGGTAAGCGTTGTTACCTTGGCTATCCAGACTTGTTGTATATCTCCCACAGCAGAGTAGTGCCATTTCTAATGGACTTGCTGGATGTGGAACGTCTTTGGCAGAGAAGGAGGGACATGGTAATAAAGATGGAATCTCACTGATCTCTCCCCCAGCACCATTCTTGGTAGATGCTGTGACCAGGTGAGGAAATTATTTCTCGGTTTGTTTATAGGCATCTTTTGGAGGAACAAATAATAAAGTTAATTCTGTATAAAATAGCAGTGTCAGTTCATTCATTGAAATTGGATAAATTGTTCCTCTGTTTATGGTTTAGTATGATTTTTTTCTTTACTACTAGTAAGTTTCTACAAAGATATTAGGGTTTCTTTGTGAAGTCTTTGCTAAAAAAATATTAACAGGCTTATCTTTATGTTTTTATATTTGTTTTAAAATCAGTTTGTGTCTGTTCCTTTCATCTTTCTTATTCTGATTGTGTTGCTATAATAGTGATAATTGTGCTGCCCATCAGCACAGGTGAAGAGATGCAGTAAAAAAGTGAAGTAGGAGATTCCCAAGGTAGCTCTTACTGATACTTGTTGAGCTCACTTCACCATACTGCTTGCTACAGACAGAAGAGACCTTTTCCTTATTTGAGAACATAACCACCTGTTTTGCAAAAGATTTATAATTACTTTCGCTGTAACCTCAGACCTTTTTTGTGATTTGCTGCCATTTCTCATATCCACATTGGTATTGAGAATGTAGATCAGTTGAAGTACAGTAGATGTTTTCCTAATCAGAGAGAGGAAAATTATTAGAGATAACTAACTTGAAAGAAATTCATACTTTAATTTTAAAATTATATCTTTATCTCCATAGTCTTTACAGTAATATCATTATTCACTTACCAGATACTCATTAAATGTCTGTGGTATACCTGGCATGACTATGGCACTGAAGATAGCATTGAACAGGACCAACATGGAACCTGCCTTTTAGAAACTTACATCTAGTCAAATAGCTCCATATACAAATTTAATGAGTTATTTTTCTAATCTTTTATGTGCCTCATAATTTGCTGCTATAAAAATAGAGATTGTATGCAGAAGACAAATGGCAATGCTTTGCAGTTTATTTATGCAAAAACAGGAATTGGGGGAAACAGACATTTATGAAGATAAAGCACCAGGTAGGGCTAAGAGTATGAGAAGTGATTGAAGTTACTCATTTAGAGCATTTGCCCTCTACCCCTGCTTATGGTGGCATAATTCTGAAGTCTTTCCTCTGAGGAGGCAGGCCAGAGAGCCTCTGAATTCTGAGAATTTGCATTTGGAATAAGGCTCTGAATTGAAAACAGTTTACCTCAAAGTGCACACATGAAGGGTGAGATTTCCAACCTTCTTTCTTTTTTCAGCTTCCCTAATGTCTTGGCCAGCTGTAAGTCTCAGGTGAGAAAGTAAGAGGATTACTCACTGGAGACACAAACCAACTAGAGAAAAAAGGTGTACAGATACTACTAACATTTATGGATCATTAGTGAAATTGCTAGAAATATTAATAGTTAACTGTAAGACAATTAATTGATGAGTTTTGTACATATATATGTGCAGCTATGAAACAGCATCTCAGTGTTTGCCTTTTAGATAGGAAGAAATGTGTGAGGAAAGTCCAAAAGAGGTAAACTGAGAAAGAAATGAAATAAAGACATGAAGAAAACTTCACAAAATTTTTATCTAAATTTAAAAGATACTGTATTTATGTAATAGTTACAGGAAACTTTATAAAAGAACACAAAGAACTATTTTTGAAAATTATTAACCACATTAAAAATAAAATCCAAAGAATGTATTGAAGATTGAGGCCATTTCCTAAAAACTAGAGAAAAGGTAAAAACTGGGAGAGAAGAGGTTAAGAAAAATGGAGGATTAGTCTATGAAGTCCAATATGTAAATCCTAGAAAGTCCAGAAAGAAGAATGAGTTTGTGCAAGTGAGGAAATTGTCAAAGACAGAAATCAAGAGTTCTACAATATAGACACTTAAGTTTCTGGATTAAAGGGGCCTACTGCGTGTCCTGCACAGAATGAAAATAGGCTCAAGGAACGTCACGAAGCTTCAGATTAAAGTGAAGGCAAAGTTTAAGGCTCCAGCAAGGGGGAAACAAAAGCACCTGGCAAGGACTGGACTCAAAATGGAAGCAGATATTACTGAAAGCTAGAATAGAAAGGAGCAATACCTCAGAGTCCTGGAGGGAACTCATTTTTCACTAGAATTTAATATCCAGAAAAACGTTATCAGTGAAATGTGACATTAGAATAGAGATAGTTTTAGACATATAATTCTCTAAAATATGTTTTTTCCAAACAGCGTTTCTCAGGAAGCTACTGAAGATGTGTTCTATTAAAACAACAGATTTTTAATTACATAACTTGCCTCAATAAACTGAGAGGAGATTCTACTTGAAATATTAAGGATAATTTTTTTAAGTGAGTCATTTATTAAATACAGAGCAAACAAAAATTGAACAAAAGAAATATACACTGACACCCAGTTGTGAAAGTGTTTTCATAATTTCAGCAAACACTGAATATTAACATGAACAAAATTGGTCAGATAGCTGTGTTGAAAAGAAGGCAAGATTATGAGGCTTGGTGGGGATATGAGAAAGTTAATCCTTCACAGTAAACATCACTCAGAGCAGATGGAACTTTTGTTGTTTGGATGAAGGCTTGTTAAAATACAGGCTACTGAGCCCTGTCCTGAACATCTGATTCAGTGTTTTAGGGGTGGGGCCCAAGAATTTACATTTCTAACAGATTCCAGGGACCACTGTTTGGGAACCATGGATATAGAAAGTGAAGGAAACTACCAGAAAAAACAGTTGAAATTACTCATGTCTAGGTAGTAGAAATGAAGAGTGATGATAAAGATGATTGGTATTTCATTTATGAATCTTGTGAATGCTTTTGGCCTTTACATTGTGTTTTTTTGTATTGGGTACTTTAATATTGTTTACCAAATTAGATGTTGATACATCCTTGCATCTGACTTTATGCAGTTCATGCATAGCAGAGTCTTGAGGCCCTCATGCAAAGGCCATGTCTTTTCATTTTTCTCAGGGCTCTAACAAATAGATTAACTGGTATATGGACTTGGGCATAACCATCTAGGACTATGTAAAGAAGCACAGGGCTATACTCCTTTTGCTATCTCCTGAGCATGTTGCTGTCATGCTCAGCACAGTACTATTTATATCTCTGACTCCTGAAGAGATGGTTAATTGTGTGTTAGGTATCAGGAAACTTTTGAGGGTATGTGTATGCTTTCTTTTTTGTGGTCCTGGGGGATTGACCCAGGGCTTTTGTACTAAGTTACATCCCCAACTCATTTTTTTGTTTTATTTTTTTATTTTTTTATTTTTGGGGGGGTTGTTTGTTTGTTTGTTTGTTGGTACCCAGTATGGAACTCGAGTCCTTGCGCTTGCAAGGCAGGTGGCAGTACCACTGAGATAAATCCCTGGCCTTTGTTTTTTATTTTAAAACAGGGTTTCACTAAATTGCTCAGGCTGGGCTTGAACTTGTAATCCTTTTACCTCATTCTCCCAGTGTGCTGGGATTACAGCCATGTACCCTCTAGCAGGCTATAAAGTTGGTATTTTATATTTCAAAATAAAATAAGCATCAGTTATCTAGAAAATTTCCTTCTTCAGGATATCTTATTGCCTAAGTTAGGTATTACCACATATCCATTTAGGTCTGTAATTACTCTGTTCTCAGCATCTCCATGTGGTCTAGTAGAAACATGAATGTCCCCTGTTCCCTTCCCACCGCCGACCCTGGATGTTTTCATTGAATATCCATTCTCTCTTCCTTTCAGTTCTGCACCAACTTTGGCTGAAGACACTGTCTTGAAGCAGAAGTGTTTACTGACCACTGAGCTTTAAGAGACTGCCCCTCCCAACTGGTAACTGGAATGCCCAGCACTCTCTAGCTCTTTGTCCTGGAATCTGTTTGTCCTGGAATCTGTTCCAGCTGGAATGTGTTGCATTCTGCAGCTTGTCCTTTGCTTATAGGTAAAAAAAGTTCTACCTACATTTAACTTCAACTCTGTTTTAAAAAGCTACATTTTCCATCCAACTGGAAGAATTTAATCAGACTACATACTTTCCCAAAGGAGGGTATCTGGTTTTTTACTTTATATAATTTCATTAGAGTTGGTAATTCCTAAATCAAGAGAATTAACTTTCCCTGCAGTTTCCTTCAAACTCTTGGCTCCACCTAGCGGTTGTAATTGTTCATCATGACTTTATAACAAGACTGCCTCTGGCAGTTATCGACCTTTTTTTTTCTCTCTGTCTGTACTGGGGATCGAACTCAGGACCTTGTGCTTGCAAGGCAGGCACAGTGCCACTGAACTAAATCCTCGGCCCTGTTAGCCTTTTAATTGCTGTTTCCCTCTGTAGTATCAGGGTAAGCATCCTTGATCTGAATTCTTGTTAAAAAATTGTACTTTTCCATGCATTACGTGTAAATCAGGAATTTAGAAATTGATGCAGACAATACCTAGATAGATTTAGGGCCAGTTCTTCTTACAGGTAGTGTAATACTAAAGAGAAGAGAATACAGAGGGTTTTAAATGTTTCCCCTACTTTTTTTTTTGGTACCGGGGATCGAACTCAGGACCTTGCGCTTGAAAGGCAGGTAGCGGCACCAATGAGCTAAATTCCTAGCAGTCTCCCCTACTTTTGACTTATGAAGTGGCTCTCTTACCTATGAGTTTATATCAATATCAAATAAACATTGAGAAAGAACAACAGAGCGATCAGTTTCCCATCATATTTTTACAGCTTTGCCTTCCCACCAGAAGTATTCCCATACACCACACTAACTTTGCAGCCTGGAAGAGGGGCAAGTTCCTAGTCAAGAGACCCTAGACATTGACCTGAAGCATCTGCTTGCCCTCCTGAGGCAGGTGAGGAATTCAGGCCATTTTAGACTTCCATAATTTCAGTACTCCACATCAGCACCTGTTTAGATAGAACTTCCAATTCCTTTCTATATAAGCTGAATAAATTGAGAGCTCTCAAACTGAAAAAGAAGAAGAAACAAAAACAGATAGGGGATGGGGATAGGAATGAAAGGCTTTGGTTTCTTTCTTTTTTTTTTTTTTTTTTTGGTACCGGGGATCAAACTCGGGTCCTTGCACTTGCGAAGCAGGGTGGTGAAACCACTGAGCTAAATTCCCGGCCCTTAGGCTTTTGTTTCTTAAATGCTTACCATGTATGAAACTGTGTATACCATACTAAAAGAAGTCACACTGCATCAGAGATTTTGTTAGTTCAAAAGACTTCTCAAAAATTCCTCCATCCCTTTTGGCCTATACAAAAAATTATGGATGTTAAAGTAGTATATGTTCATCATAGAAGAGTATACAAATAACCACCTGTTATCCCAAAACCCAGAAATAATACTAATTTAGCTTTAGAACTGTAGGCTGAAAAGTAAGCCTTAATTGCTGTGGGGAAAGAAAATGATCTGGAAACCATGTCAGGAAAGTCACCAGTAATAAAAGACTGATGTTAAGATTACCTCCTAGGAATTGTTTTTTAAGTTTCCTGCCCTGAAATGTGTATATATTAGTTTGTACTACTCAGTCTAAAAGAACATCCAGTTTTGTGATCTTTAAAATTTCATAGTTTGGACTATCCTGGGCTCCCAGTAGCATACTGATGTGCTCAGGCAAACACACTAGGATCAGACTGGAAAGCTCAGGAATTTTAATCTTACACTGTTTCCCAGGGAGCTGTATAGATTGGAAAGCACTTTTCACAAAACATTTTTGCTGAAAGAGAGAAAGTTGGCACTTCTTACTGGCTGCCTCCCCATAGCTATTATGCTAAGCTTGTGAGTTTCATTGGACTGCTTTTGGCAGTCATTGGTTATACTGTAAAACATGTTTTCTCACAGCTGTGGCACATAGAACCTAGGCCTGACCCAGAACATGTTGAATTGGGCATCGGTTTTTCAGTGCTTGACAACCCTGAATGTCCTGTATGTTCTGCATGGTTAGTGTTGTGCTCCTAAACACAGAGCAGCTAAAAGGCACTGTGGCCTGAAAGACCTGAATTTCCTGTCCAGTTTAGAAGGTAGTACTATTCTTATCTTAAACTTTCCAGGGTTTAGAAATTAAGTGTTGAAAATATTTCGTCTTTTGAAAATATTTTAGTCACTTAGGTACCTGTCTTCAGGTACCTATATTCTTGCCAGTCAAAATATTGATAGGAACATTAATTTGAATCTCCACTAAAAGTAAAATGTCCAAACATGAAGTGGTAAATATGAATGATGGATTATCCCTGACAGATTAGATACCTGTCACATATAAGATCCTTGTCATCTGTTGCTGGTGTTGTTCCCAGAGCTGCTACACCAGCTCATGCAATTCTGCTCTCCTGAGGACAGTAGTGGTGAAGAGGCAGGGGGCTGAGGAGGTCTTTGGCAGGCAGGCAAGGGAAATCTCTGTCTCAGAGAAGAGGGAAGCATGTGTGAACCAGTGGAGGAGCTGGCAAAGAGGCTGGAGCTGACCCTGGATAAGAAGGCAGCTGATAACGTTGGGCTGAGGCAAGAGGGACCTTGAGAGTGCTGCAGGCCTTCTTGATGGTTTGCCTTGCACATGGGAAACAGTGCAGCTGCTCTGCCACCTTCCCACTGGGAGCAGCCAGGAGAGGATCCTGGTAGGAGGAGGGGGGTTGCCATGGTAGTTTAAAATAAGATATGAATGTTGCAGCTTTCTGCCCTGGTCTGTCCCTCCGCACATGAGTTAATCAGTGAGATCTTAATTCTATTTGCCTACAGCATCTCCTTTCTAACGAGGGGCTCATGGTTATTTCACACTCATTCTTCAGGAGACATTATTAATCAGCAGTGAGTAGGTTCCTTGGGTGCTTGACAGTTTTACACTTTAAGAAAAATTCTTTTGAAAAAATATTTACAGTTTTACTAACTTCTTTGGCTTTATTTGCTTTTGTACAATCTCAGAGGTCCTATGGACTTATAAAGATGAAAGCCTTGAGTTTTTCTAGACTGTTCGCTCTTTCATGCTTCTCAGTTCTAGCTAAAACTTTTATTCTGTCTTCTCTTGCTAAGCCCCAGGAGAAAGTTCTACAGTCCCTCTAGAACCTTTGGTAGTGGGATTATTTGCCTGTCACATAAAGTCTTTCATATTTTTCTAAGGATCTAGAAAAACAAAGTTGTTGTCTTCTCACTCAGCAGAGGTCACATGCATGTTCCGTAACGGCTAGAGATAGTAAGTACTTCAGCAGTCAGCTCTGCTGGCACAGCACAAAGGCAGCATGAACAGCAGTACATATGAACATGGCTGTGTTCAGTAAAGATTTATGTACAAAACATCTCCTGACCCCTGATTTCCAGCTTTGTAGACTGGCTACCTGGAAGGCAGGTAGGGATTCAGATGGGTTCTGAAGTGTCATCTATCACTTGGAGGCACCTAGCCCATCTGAATGTTGCATCCTTGTGCACATTTGGCACAACCAGACAAGGTGCAGTTGTAGTCTCAGCTCTGTATCTGTGAGAGCTCACCAATTTCTGATTAATCCTACCCTTTGCCGTGTAGTTGCTTACAAATTTGAATAGTTCTGTAGAGTGAAGAATGCATAATTCTAGGTTATTTGTCCTTTGTTTTACTCTCAAAAGCGTAAATACTGGTTCTTGAATGATCAGAGGATGGTTGAAACTTCCTGTGCATTAGCCCCCAGAATGAGGAACATGGTTTGTATCATGGAAACTTTACTTGAGGTGAATTTTGCTGTGTTGACATGCTGGTAGAGCTGCGATTCTTCCCCAGTCCTATGGTAGGATCTGTAAGTCCCTACTTTATCATGCTGCTTGAGACCATAACTTAGTCACTTCTCAGGATTTCTCTTTATCAGAGGTGTTTTGTGTCACAACTCATTACTCTGTTTATCTTCAGATCTGGATACTATAGATGGTTGGTTATGAGGACCTCACTAACTATTTTGTGTTTACTTTTTATATGTGTAAAGCTCTGTAGTAGCTTTGAAACTGTAATTTATTTTTCTATTAAGTGCACTGTATTCAGTGTTTTGTATAACTTGTATTAGAATCACAGTACTGAACTGTGAATTGTCTGTACACTGAAATGAGAAGTGTAGATGTGACCTCATTCAAATAAAACTTTTGTGAGACATTTGATGTTTGTCTGAATTGTTTCTTGGGTGTGTGATACTTACCTTCTGGCCCAGCAGCATTGTTGGCCATATTAATAGGAAGGTACGGGAAGCGGTGGCACAGTATTCAGGGATCCTGTCTGTGTGTGGGGTGCGACTTCAGGAGTGGAGATTTTCGAAGGTCAGAAACCTCATTGGTCATGCCTAGTGTATTCCAGGAGGCACATGGCCATTGCAAGGATCAGTGTGGTACAGGAGAAACACGGTTGTCCTATGGAGTCTAGGTGCTACTACATAATACTCATAAGACCTTCAGCAGTTTACTTGACGAACCTGTGCCTCAGTTCCTTTGTCTGAAAGCACATATGAAGTATGTGTCACAGAATCTGACAGCTATCACTGTCTCCTTCGCTCACCCCCGCCAGCCACTCCCTTCACTGACTTTGCACCATGCCATCTCTGTGGGGAGCAGTGCTGCCCAGGTGTTTTTCAGGACTCCTGGGCAGAGCACAGCAATCACCTTTTAGGGTTGGCAAGGCTGAGAGAAGTTCTTCTGAGAGAAAAGTCTGCCCTTTCTTCTCCTCTCCTCTCCTCTCTCTTCTACCTCAGAGAGAGGAAGAGCCAGCCCTGGAAGCTTTTCTAGGCTCTCCAGAGTTGTGCCAGCAGGGGTGGGTCCCTGGGTTCAGTTGTCTGGGCTGGAACCTCTCCTAAAAGGAAGTTTTTGGCAATCAGAACCAAAAGCCATTCCTATTTAAGTGTAACAACTCATGGGAAAGATATGGACTGCTCTCCATTCCCATAGGAAGGAGTAAGATGGGTAGAAACAAAGGGGAGGGAATGCAGGTGCCATCTCCAGCTGTGAACCATGCTGTTTACTGTCCTGAGTCCAGGCGCTGGGCAGCTCACCAGGTTATGGTTCACTGACAGGAAAGGGGGTGATAACAGACTACCAAAACACCCAGATCAACACAGCACATCACCAAGAAAGAACTCTTGTGACCAACATCAAGAAAAGCCTGGAGGGGCTGAAGGTACATTTCTTGTCAGTAAAGTTAGTGACAGTGCCAGGCCTAAGCAAAGGGACTCCTGTTGGTCTGGTGGTAAGGTGGTAGGTGGCTCAGAGTGGTCTTTGTCCTCATCCCATCCTAGCAGGCATTCAGCCCATTATGCTTATATTCCAGACTCCATTCTGAGGAGAAGCAGAGAGGGACAGTGAGTAGCCCTTGTCCTCCACAGCACAGGAGCCCCTGCACTTTTGGCCAGCCCTCTGCAGCCCACACCAGTGTCTACCAGATGTCAAGCGTAACAGACAATGCTCAGGGATAGCATGTTCTGCCAAGGTAGCAAATCATGATGGTAGGGCAGAAACAGACTTTCCAGATTACCTGTGTGTAGCCCCTCAGTGTGAGATAAGGAAACCACTCCAGAGAGGGACAGGAAGTTTCCCTGCTCCAGATGGCTGGAGGCAGGAACATAAATCTTCAGGCTTCCAGGGACCATCTCGCTCCTCTCTTACTCGGTCTGTTTCCCTTGGCACTACTCGTCTCAACAACCTGAACCAGAGTTGCAGCAAAGAATAGCTTCAGCTTCTGTGTTACATCTCTGAGGCCCTTTCTTGTGTAGGTCCAGATTTCCACAGGAGAAGCTTATGCATGTCAAAGCAATGTCTTTCCAAAGGAGAACATCCACAACACAGATCTGGAGGGAACCACATACTTTGGCCATCCTTCAGGGTTCTCCAGGACCCAAAAATGAGAGTATAGCCAACATGACCTGTTTTGGAATGTTCACTCCATATTTATCATGTGCTCCCAAATTCCACATGTGCTATCCCCTCTGGAGTACCATCCAGGGGCCGGGGATTTAGCTCAATGGTTCCGCCGCCTGCCTTGCAAGCCTAAGGACCTGAGTTCGATCCCCAGTACCCCCCAGCTGGTGAAACCACAAAAGCTCATGGGAAAGCCCCACTGTCTCCCTGGAACCCTCCCTTGGTTGCCATGGGTTCTTAATCTTGTTTCAGGTTTAAAATTTGCACATCTGGACACATAGGAAATTTGTACACACTTTCCTCAGGTTGGAAGCCCTGTTCAGTGAACAGGCCATAGAGGCTCTTCCAGGAAAATCTGATGTAAAAGAACTGACCACTGTAGGTCAAAGGTGCCAGGAGACCAAAGAAAGAGGCAGACATATCCAGGATCAACTGTAGTTTTATTGGAGACTCAGAAGAATGGTTGAGGGTAGCAGCAGAACCAGTGAATCCCCACAACTTGGTTCAGAGCAAGGACTATATTACAAGAGTTAGGACAAAAGTGGCTTTCATCCAAGATGGAATGATCCTGGCTTATTTCAAGCTAGTATATCAAGGATATCAAGCACATTCCTGGTGCTGACTGGCACCAGGGTCCATCATAAGCTCCACATACCACTGTAATGGCTTTGTTTATACTATTCTGGGGAATGGGGAAACCCGGCCAGGGTTACTCAGGGGCAATCATGGTGGTTACAACTCAAGATGACTCCACTGAGGTCAGGCTTTGTCCCTACAGAGGCACTTATGGGGGAAACTGTCACTTCTCATAGCTCTGCTGCTCTGGCAAGCCGTAGATACTCAACAAATGGGTGTTCCGCGAAACTTAACAAACAAAGGATCTGAGCCTAGAATATGAAGACATGACACTTTTAAAACAGCCATTTAAAGTGAATTTTATTCTTAAATTACAACATAACAAACGGGCCCTAGTGGAACCCTGTCTGCCAGTCCCTCTGCCTTGTCCTTGTTAAAAGTTGATAATAGTACCTCATGGGGCAGAAAAGGGTAAATGACTTGATAGTGAAAAATGCATAGAAAGGTGTTACATAATAAATGTGTTAGGTGCTGCCATTTTTTTTTTTTTTTTTTGCGGTATCAGGGATCAAACTCAGGACCTTGTGCTTGCCAGGCAGGCACGGTGCCACTGAGCTACATCCCTGGCCAGCGGTGCTGCCATTTTTAATGGTGGTCTTGGTATGCCTCTAAGCAGTCATGTTTCCTTCTCACACAACTGGTGATCTCCATTAGGGGTGGATTTGGCCACCATTTCTAGCCACCTGGTCTCAGCTGCAGAGAAAAAGCACCTGCCCAAGGAGAATTTTAGTCACAGCCCCCTGGTCACCTCACCTCCACAGGCTCCACAGCAGCTTTTTCCTAGAGTCTCCACGTGTAGGAACCAGCCTACAAGCTCGAACTTGACCAAGGGGTGGCGAAGATGAAAAAGAGACACAGAAACAAGTTAAAATCTCGGGGACCAGAGAACTCATGTCTCCTTTCAATGTAGATCCCCAAATGACTGGCACATTTGGTTTTACTCACTGAGCCCCGGGCACAAGCAATTAGAGTTCCACAGGATTCATCGGTCTCCCACCCTCCATGGTACTTGTCCTGGTAAACAACTTAACCTCAGGTGTTTTTACTTTTCCCTGCAGCATGTTAGCACACTTGTATGCCCTCTTTATCCACCATGCTCATTGAGGAGGCCAATTAGGCCTCATTCTTCCCATCTGATCTCCAGATCCCTTCATCCATTGCTGACTTTCTCCTGTGTCCCCTCACACTAAGCAGATGACCTCGTGTCTGCCTCACAGATAAAAGCAGAAAGCCCCAGGCGTGAATGTTCTCAGCAGCCTTTCCTTTATCTGCAATCACCATGCCCCTCTCCTCCCTTCTAGTTAACAGAGAGTGCTTATCCTACATCCTATGCCTGGGGCCCTTGTCCTCCTCCCTCCCAAGAGGACTTACTCTGTAGTCTGCCCCCTATCTTTCCTGTGTCTCCACACTACGCCTCTAAAAACTGCTTCACTTTAGCACTGAAACCTTTTTGAATATTTCCCAAATAGAGCTCTTTCTGTCTTACATCTCCCTCTGACTTCATGTCCTTCCCCTTCATGGATGTACCTCTTTTTAATATATTTTGAGTGCCTATTAATTTTATAAAATAAACTGGTTCCTCAGTTCACAAACTTCAATTTGTTCCACCATTCTGGAAAAGATGGCCACGTTCGTGTTCATGTGGGAGAGATGGCCGCAGTAATGTTTGTTCACCCAATGCAGAGTTTGCAAACAAAAACAAAATTTTTCCAAGTGCTTCTGTTTGCAAACCAAACTGTTTGCAAATGAAAGTGTTCATGAACCAAGGCACCACTGTACTGGGTCTTGATGTAGTGTGTTGATAGATGCATATATTTTGATCATATCCATCTTCCCATTACTTTTCTTTACAGCCATTTCTCCTACCCAGATTCCCTTCCTGTCTAATAGTCTCTCTACAGACAGAGTTCATGTAGTAAGTCTGTGTCCTGACTCAGCAGCCCTGTCCAGCTTTCCTGATCTGGCCTCATAGTGCCATTTGCCATTCTCTTCTCAACTGCCCCTCTTTTTTTGGTTTATCAATTAGGACAAGGTACATTACACTGCAATAATGACCCAGAAAATCACAGTGGCTTAAAGAACTGGCTACATAATTTGCAGGGCCTAGTATGAATAGAAATGTGAAACTTTTCAAAAATCGCTGAGAATTTCAAGATGATGATAGAGCATTAACCAGCAACAGGACCCTTCTAAACATGGCCCTGTTTACAGGGTTTCTTTTTCATACCACACGTTTCCATTGCAAGTGAGAGAGAGCTCCCCAGTCTAAGAGACTTGACACATGTTTGTGTGACCTCAGAGGTGAGAAGGGAATGTGATTAACTATGCTTGTGCTTAGTGCATTTCTTCCTGGATGTAGTGTACATCCCTGTCGCTGGCATTTTATTGTTCAGAGAAAATTGCAAGGGTTTGTCTGGGTTCAGGGTGTGAGGCAAGGGCAGAACACTGACTCTATTGTACAGTGTTAGTGTGTCTCACACGTGGCTTACCATCAAATATTCCTGATTCTCCTGCCAGTCTGATACTACTTGGTTTCCTTTGTTAGCAACTTTCCCACTCTGCCCACTCCTTTAAGGCAGAGGACCCTCATTCTTGCTACTAACCCTGTTCTCATCCCCTCA